CCAGGCTTGTACGTCTTCCATTCTTCCAGTCTGATCAGCAGTGTTGAGAAGGGCGTCCCGCTTTCTTTTCAGTTCCTCAAAGTGTTTAGACCAAAACACTCGATAGTGTTTAGTCCTGCCTCTGGGAATAGTTTTTTTTGCACATCTGATCATAATATTCGCGATATCAATGCAAAGTTTGTCAGGATGTTGGTTGAAGTTGAGGGGACTTGTGTGAAGTTCATTGTCTATAAGGTTAGTGAATCTGGACCAGTCAGCCTTCTTGAAGTTCCATGATAGCTTAGTTGGCACTTTCCTTGACATGCTTTTGCCGCTGATTTTCAACTTCATTATGTAATTTAAAGTTCAATAGTTCATTCTGGATTTCTAGTAAACAGGAATATTCCATAGCTATCCTATTTTTGGTATTATTTGCATATGAACTATACATATATTTATTTTAAAATTTCATGGCATCTTTTGTAAAACCTGAATCAGTTGGGAAATTAAAATTTAGTCAAATTGGGTTCGAGTAATGCACAAAAGAGCACACTAATTAGACGGAGCAAAGTTTTTAAAATTAATTCGACCTACTGGAAACCTGACAAAGTGTGAATTGCATAAAGGTAATTTTCCGGGTTTTTCCGAAAATCCCCCCAAAGAACCAAGTAACCGTCCACCTGAATAAGCCCCCATGGGGCGAGTCAAGCTTCAGTCCCAATTAGAGACGAGCTGTGTATTACTATATTTTAATTGTTGACCCCAAATAATTGCCCATCTCATTGTTAAAACCACACAGGTTCACAATTTTCAGTCACCTACAAAATGCTCTAAATAAGTTAGCTTTGGGCTAGGGTTTGGGTGAAGGAAGTTGCGTAAAAGTTGAGGATCAACTTTTTTGGGCCAGGGTGGGGGAGGGGGGGGGGGTTATTGCTCTGTTTGCATCCAAGTTTCACAAGAGTGTGCCGACTGCAGCATCATAATTCCACATTTCAAGGCTAAAATTTAACAATATGATCCCTAAGTTTATGATAAAAAATATCACGTTCAATTTAAAGCCTTTGATTAGGCCATTCATTTTAAATGTAAGTGCATGCTGTCATGAAAGAATTTTTCGGTACTGAATCTTATTTAATTGTAATATGAAATAATTGCGTGGGTCAATAATTCCTGATGCATAAGGGTCTTTTTACCCAGTGACGGTTTAAATTACAAATGCCTCGCCTAAATTACTGGCAAGAATACGATATCACGTTCCGGTCACTTAAACATGTGTCTGTTAACTAGGGCCTAAGTTTGTTTCCAGGTGGAATTAGTTTTTACTATCCATATGAGCATTTAATTTTTTTCTCTTTGATAGGAATAGTCTCTACGTTGATTCTGCTTCTCGTCCTGATGATTATGATCTTCCTTCGAAAGAAAATATATTTTGCTAGCAATGTTATTGGAGAGGCGAGCAAGTAAGATACACTCTCGGTCATTTGTCGCACTTCTTGCAAATCCCTAATTGTGTCTACTACTGAAATACTACTTAATTCTAGGGCCATTGGCCACATGCCATTTACCCTCTTTTGGCCAATCTTCCCATTCGCTTTTATCCTTGGAACGTTTGCCCTGTGGCTTTTTGTTGACCTCAATCTTCGATCGATAGCAACAGCTGAGGGCGTCTACCTCAATAAAACCGCGGCTGAATCACCGGCGTCAATATTTTCTAAGAAGCGTTTGGATTGGATCTTTGATGATGCTAATAAATGCGACCCAATGGTGAGTAATTGTTACTTGTGCATTCTAACTTCTTCGCTTGAATCTTGCATATTTATTTGTTTCAAATGGCAGGCATTTTGATAAGTTATCATTTGTCCTTTAGCTGACTTTGAGCTTCACACTGAGTGGGATGGAACAGATAAAGTGGGAAAAAAGTCGAGAAGAGTGTTTCCTAGATGAAAAAGAGTCAGGTAGACACAGAAGTACAGAAAAAGATAAGATGGAGTAAGTACTGTGGAAGTGGTCGAACATGACATACAATGGGGTCATGGTAATTTGAACTCGGAAGTCAACTGCCGGTTTATAGACTGCTTTCCTGTATGGGTATATGTTACCCAGCGTGCACCACGTGGAGGTAAGTCTATCGCACACTCCTGAATGTTGTATATTATGGAATACCTGTTAGTTAGTCTTGTCTAAGATTAATCGACCATCGCTTTTCACTACCAGGAGGTAGTCAATGTTTGCTAATTGTTCTTCTTCTATAAATTCAATCGAATGATTTAATGTGTTCTTTAGTGTTTCTCTCTCTCTCTTCCCTTTAGGTCGATTATTCCGAAGGTCAATTTTGTTTCTATGTGAAGCACGTGGTTATGAAGTAAGTGATTTGGGTTTTTTTTCTAGTGACTAATTGAAATATTCGAATTATCTAATTTCACTCGGCAATTCACCGGCTTGCATTGAACGAATGTTCTTTTTTAAGTTTACATTTTTCGGCTTTCTTTGCTTTCTATCACTGATTTAGATCACAGATAGAAATATCCTAGTAATGAAATAAAGCGTGTTCCTATTGTGATTGGTCAATGTGCTCTCTACAGACATATCTCAAATTAATGTAGAAAGCTTTCAAAGTGCTCGACTTTTTTCCTATGAGAAACGCGACAGCCTTCCTGTAATTCTATGGCGTAGTTGTCCGACAATTGTACAAATACAAATTACTCTATTCTCAGGTTTATACTTAATTGCTACTTTTTTCCCACTGAGGTGACACTAACGTTGGTGGAGGGGAGGGGGGGGGGAATTGCCTAACTACTTTGAACAATGATTCAGGTAGAAAGTAATCAAAGCACTCTTTTAATGTTGTTTTATTAAACGGTTTTAAAATCGGTAGTTTTATTTTATTTTGCTTGTATATTGAATCAGTTAATATTATTTATATCAAATGGGAGGCGTTTTGATAGTTATCATTAGCCCTTTAGTTGACTTCGGGCTTTACAGAGGGGAGGAGGAACATCAGAGTGGGAAGAATTCGGGAGAGAGAATAGAAGAGTGATTCACGGATGTAAAAGAAACTGACAGACACAAAAGCACAGAAAGGATAAGATGAGTACTCTGGTAGGGGTCGAATATGACATACAGTGGGGGTGACGGTCGTTTGAAGTGAGAAGTCAACTGCCGGTTAATAGACTTTTTGCCGTATGAGTATACGTTGCCCAGGATGCACCACGAGGAGGTAAGTCTATCCCACACCCCGCATATTGACAAAGTAGAGAAATGTTTTCTTACATGGATGCATTTGCGATGAAATTGACTATGAATACATAAAAAAATCGATATTTTACATTTCTACACTCAGGTTGTTTTATGGGGCTTTCGAATTCGACCACTGATAGTAGGGCAAGTTTGAAGTTCCTACTTGGCAAATTTTTCCCTTATAAGAGTCTTTTTCACTAAAGATTATTGGCTTTTCAAAGCTCCCTCAATTTAACACTTAGCCAGGCAGCCTATAGAACGTTTGAGATGTGGAAATATCTTTTTTTCTCTGCTATCCAAATAACTAACCCATCGTCGTTTTTTTACTTTGAAATACATTTCAGGAAACTTGTTCCTTTGTACGGTAGTATAACAGACGATCTTAATTTACTATTTTTCTTTATTTTTAATTGAGTATTTGCAGCAATCTCACATTTCGATTTGACTGAGCAACTTTAATCATTTGCACAGCCTACTATTTGCTTAAATAAACACGTCACTTTTTATCTTTCAAGGCGAATTTCGTCCCACTTGTCATTATAACAGCTTCTACTTACCTTCAATATTTAATGTGCTTTGCAAATATTACGCATTCATTTTTAATGGTATACTCGTCTCTTTCTCTATTAAGTTTTCATACCTTTTACTTCTGGGAGGGGGAGGGGATGTTGAATGGATTTCGTTCGTCGGATTGCAGTATTCTTACTTACTACTCAGTATTTACTACTCAGTAGTATTTACTTACTACTCAGTCTAGACTGATGCTGTGCTTGTGGGTGGTCTATAGGTTCATTATCCGTAAGAGAACTCAATTGAACTTTGTCCTGTTAAGTAATATAAAGTAGTGTTAACCTTGACGTTCGATACACAACGCAGCACTTCTCTTCTTTCGTGGCCACTCTGTGTAATGATTGGCTCTGCGTCATATTGAAAGTGATATTGGGCACTTTTTCGGGGTCACGCAATATTCCGTATGCATTACTTTTTAATGAAGATGTGATACTGATTTGCCTCTCTGTAATTGCATAACACTTCTTTTATCCTGGCCACCCTGTGTCTTGTAAGTACGAAAAAGGCTGTCAACTTTATTCATCCACACTTTCTGCTCTAATGAAACAAATTGTATTTTTGTGAGAATAGAAGGGCGCAAATGAAGGAAATTTTTTTTTCTCTGAACCTACTTGGGAATCTTGTTTTCAAGATAGGAATCATCCTAATTTGCCTTTCTCCATTTCCCAGAGAATATTGAATTGGTAGCAGTATCTTTGACGCATCTTATTTAAATGAGGTAAATCATTTATGTATTTATTTCAAATGGCGGGCTTTATAACACCTATCATTAGCCTTTTAGCTGACTTTGGGCTTCACAGAGGGGAGGAACATCAAAGTGTAAAAAGATCGAAAGGGAGGGGAACAGAAGAGTGATTCAAAGATGTTAAAGAGACAGACACCAAGGCAGAGAAAAGTTAAGATTAGTACGGTGGAAGTGGTTAAATATGACATACAGTTGGGTCATGGCAATTTGAAGTCAGAAGTCAACTGCCAGTTAATAGACTTTTTTGCCGTATGAGAATACATTGCCCGGGATGCACCACGTGGAGGTAAGTCTATCGTACCCCATGAGGTAAATCATTTATTTATTTATATCAAATGGCAGGCGTTTTGATGGTCATCATTAACCCTTTAGTTGACTTTAGGCTTCACAGAGGGGAAGGAACATCAAAGTGAAAAAAAGTCGAGAGGAGGGGAACTAAAGTGTGTTTCAAAAACGAAGGTTGAAAATTTAGAAAAAAAATGTGATGCAGTACTGTGGAAGTGGTCGAATATGTCACACAGTGGGGTCATGGTAGTTTGAAGTCAACTGCCGGTTAAAAGACTTTTTGCCGTATGAGTATATGTTGCCCAGGGTGCACCACGTGGAGGTAAGTCTATCGCACACCCCTGAGGTAAATCATAATATTCTCCCAACAGCGTCGCNGGGGGGGTTGGAAAGTTTTTCTTTTACGTATCTAGAACATTTTGAGAGGCTCCCCCATCCTCTCGATAGAACAGAGCTGTGATATCTGGGGTTTTTTGAGTCTTGTCTCATACTAATCAATTCCGCAGACGGTGTCTCTAAATCACCTAGCATTCTTATCACGCCGCGAGCACATACCGCGCCTGTCAAAATGTAGCAGATATCTAGAGCCTAGCATTGCTATCAGTTTGGCTGTGTTTCGACCTCCCAACAATTGACAATCTTATGATATCGTGACTTTGTTTGAGTAATATGATACCCTCTCTTGGCTGCAGTCTGGCATAAACTTTTCTCTTTGCCTTTTACCGCCTGAAGTCTTGTGGAGAATAATGGGTCAATCTACAGAACCAACACTTACTGATGTTTTTTAACAAATTTGTACTATTAGATTCCAAGAAATGGAATAATCCGACATTCATTCACAGGAGACTCCAAAGCGAATATAGCGACTGGTGGGGGAGGGAGGGGGGGCGAAGTTCCTGGTTATTTAAGTTTAACTCGTCAATATTCTTTGACCCCATCGAACTCCATTCGCTGTATTTGTGCTCCTTGCATCCTATTTTCCTCTATTCATGGGTGATTAATCTCTGAATTCGATCGGTGTAGTAAATGCCCAATAGTTGTGGCTCTTCAGATGTTATTTACTTGTTTGTGTATCGACGCGTATTTGCCAAGAATGTTCGTTACATTTCAATATTTAGGTGGGGAAAAACTTATGCGACTTTTCCCACTCTTGGCGGCTAGTTATTGCGTGTTTGCAAATGCATTTAACTTATGTGTCTTTGTTATTTGCGTTTGCTTTAGCTATACCCCGTGGTTGCAAATCTTCAATTTTGCAGCGTGTCTTTGGCTCATCAATTACATCATTGCTGTCGATCAGTTGACTCTCGCGGGAGCCTTCGCCACGTTCTACTTCTCTCAAAGTAAAAAGCGCCGTCGTGATGGCTCGAGTCCTTGCTACTTCTGCGGAGTCTTTTTGATCTTTGGAACTTGTGCCAGTGCCATAATCTTCCACTCTGGTTCATTGGCATTTGGCTCGCTTCTCATCACTCTTTTGTGGATTTTGAGGGCAATTCTACTGAAGATTGAGAGACGTCTTAAGCTGGCAGACAATGAGATTGCTAAATTCTTTATAAAGTGTCTCTGTTGCTGTTTCTGGTGCTTGGATAAGTTCCTTCGATTCCTGAACAAAAATGCCTATATTATGGTGAGCGCCAAAAGTTTTAAAAGTACAAAATTATACCTACTTTATTAGTATCAGTAATATTAGTTTATTCCTTCAGTTTTATTGGTCGCTATTCGTCGCCAATTTTAACTTTTCTTGAAAGTAATGCTGTTTGCGAAGCTGCGTGCAGTTTTAAGCCCGAAAAAAGCGTCCGATTGAAGCGGTTCATTTGTCTTTGAGAGTTCTTTGCTTAAAATTTATTGAGGTTTCGTCAAATGTATGAACAATTTTTGTCCAACACGTTTGAATTGTCAAATAAGGAATTAAGTAGAGATAGACTATTCTTGAGTGGTGAAGGCTTGTTTAAGCTTAGCTCTTTTTAACAATACGAACTCTGGTATGGCTAATTAAAAGCCTTAAGAGGCAATAACGTGTTGAAATATAGCTTGTTATGCTTGCAGTGGCTGACAGATTTGATATTATTATTGTAAGTTTAGTTTTAGAGGTAAAATCCCCTCTGAGCTGTGTGTCAAAATTTTGCTGAATGGATGCACATTACAAACCTTTTAGTTCATAACTTGAATTGACGTCGTCATGGTATTGTGTACTTAGTTCTTAATGCATTAAATTGTGTATCTTGGGAAAAGTCAATGAAAGCTTAAATGAGTCTTGATGAACGATGCCCTGAATAACATGAAGAAACTGTGAAATTATAAAAAAATGATCAATTGGAGCACTACCAAAGCATGGGGTCCTATTGAACTCCGAGATTTGATCTATTCCTGTATGCAGGTGTTTTATGTTGTGGAACTAATTGTACTACTATGGATTCGTAATGCTACTGATCTGTTGCATAAGTCTCAGTTATTTCGGTTCCTGGAATTTGAACTGTCCTTATTCCGACGTCTGTAGGGAATCCACTTATCCACAATTATTAAAAGTCCATGTTTTAGAGTCTCTAGATTAGTTTTCCTCTATAGTTGTAATTTTAACTTGTCACTGGTAAACGCACTTGAAATCAGTAATCACCTAACAATCTAACCTTCTATATAGTGAAAAAGTGGAATGAGGTCGTGGACATTCTTTTAATGGAAGTGAGTAGTTCACAGAAGTGCTTAAATTTTTATTGATTATGCTGAGTATGAATCCCGTATGCATATTTGTCCTTCCCTCATCAATAGGGTTAGTTCTTCTCCGGTTAAATAACATTAATTTTTGGCGCTCGTTCATTTAAATTTCGCTGTATTAATGGTTTAATTTCATAAAGTAATGCAATTTTAAACCTTTGATATTAGAAGGGTGAAATGGATTCATTTTGCACCTTCCGTTACAACTCGTTATTTAGAATTGTGGCAGGCTGGGGTTTTAAACTTATAGTTTCAATCTAAACTTTTTTAATCGGATATTTTAAATTCTACAGCTTTTGCTCATTCAGACTGCACTTGCTCAAGTGGAAAATCCTTTGGGAACCGGATTTACTATGATGAAATTTGAAATATAGGCAAAAAATTTAAGGAAAAAGAGAGACTATTTATTTACTTAGAATGCATATTCAAATGCTCAATTCAATAAGTTTAGCCTTCTCTGGCTTTACAAATTGGCAATTTTGATGTCGTGTGCAAGTGATGAGAAGCGTGAATGTACTTTTTTGCCTTTTAAAATACGCCTTCCAAATGGATCCTTGCAGTGACGTCGTCCCCCACCCCCAAGATCCTTAAACACTCTTGTTTGCCATATGCTAATTCAATACTGTTCATCGCTCTATCTAATCCGCTCTCTCCGGACACTTGGATGTTTACTAGCTCCGTGGCTGCACCTCCCCACCACTCTGTATTCTATTGATTTCTGTGTGCTAGCATTGGTAGAGCTTGGAGAGGGTGATAGTTTAAAGAAGTATTTTGCTCCCCCCACTTTTAACTTCCAAACTTCCTCCCCCCCCCCCCCCCCCTCCCAACTATATCTTAACTCATTGGGAGCCAAGCCTTCCTATTTCCATCTCTTCTACACCCACGAAGTGTAGCTTCGAGGATTCTACTTTCTTTTGATTACCGGCGACTTGAAGAAAAGTAAACCTGTTAACCTTTAGGTCACTCAACATTAAGGGGCTTTGTACTATCGCCCAACTGCATGATGACTCTCACATCTTAATTCTGGTCTCAGTCAGTCCCCGGGTGGACGAGGTGATAAGGGGGTTCGCATGTGGCTTTGGGAAGGTGAGAATTACTCTTATTTGCGACAGACGCAGAAAATCATTCATCCAGTAGCACTTTCAGTGTAGCATATTTCACGCGACCTCTAATCTTGGCCACGTTGTGAAACAGTCATCCAAGGTGATTGGGTTCCTTGTCTCCTGTGTCTCACTGAAAGCCTTACTTTGCGCTTGCGCGCGGGGTTGCGTAATAGGCTATATTTACTACTTTCAAGTTAGGGGAAATATTTTTTTATAATTTTCCGTCTTCTCACGGATCTCTTAGCTTGGCCGCTGCCGCCATCCTGTACTGCTGCTTATTTGACATCTCGCCTGGTCGTTTGGTCTGCCCCCCCCCCTCCTCCCCTCCCTTCCCTCCTCTCCTCATCACCCAATATTGTGACAATAACACAATAGATAAAGGAATGAGCAAGTTTGCGCGTATTCCTTCCGGGTGTTTGTGTGCAATTCCCAATGTGTGTGGCAACCTATTCATTGGGTATCTACATCACTTCCATTCCATTCTACTCTCGTCGTACTTCGCCTCGTTTCCTAATCGGAGTGCCTTAACTACGCGAAACCTTATGGAAAAAGTGTAGATAGAGCAGTACTCGGATGTGCTATTTGTGCTCTTGGAAGGAAGATGGGAAGATAATTTGATTGCATCCTAAAGAAAGAACACACGAGGAATGAGTCAACTCAGTTTCTGTTATTTGAAGCTTGTGTGGCTGCTGTAAAGGATGAGTCATCTCATTCTACTAAAATTGGTTTGATCGCTTCAATCAATTTAGTTTAGCAACACACACCCCTGCTGACTTTAGTGTTTAGCGTTTGACTAATACACACGTCACACAGTTGCCACTTAACACCCTTTAACGCTCGAATTAGTTTTTTTTGTTGAAAAATGCACCCAAACGCACTCACATGTATCTCGCAACTGACTGATGTCGATGTGATGAGTTTTGGTGGGGTATCAAGCGAAGGCTACATAGACACGGATTGAGCAGGTTTCAAATGGCAATAGTACCTTCCGTTAGTACCAATGAGGTTATTTTGAAAGAGGATCGTACTGTCCTGCAGGGTGTTAAAGGGTTAAAGGACACTACTTGTCTTTTCAGTTTATGTACAATTTATTTATTTATATCAAATGGCAGGCGTCTTGATGGTTATCATTAGCCCTTTAGTTAACTTCAGACTTCACAGAGGGGAAGGAACATCAAATTGAAAAAGTCGAGAGGGNTTTGAGTAGGATTTTGCTTCAAATTTTTCACTAGACAGGCATTAGCGACTCACTGACAAATTAGAGCTTTTTTCCCAATGGTTTGTAAACATTGCTTATTGAGAATTAAGAAGTAAATATTTACATGGTGTCAACACAGAGCATCTTTACCAAACTTTGTACGACTGAGGTAGCAAACTGTCGCTTTGAATGTTTTAACGCTTTTATGGAGTTAAATTATTTATTTATTTATTTCAAATGGCAGGCGTTTTGATAGATATCATTAGCCATTTAGCTGACTTCGGGCTTCACAGAGGGAAGGTTCATCAAAGTAGCAGAAAGTCGAGGGATGGGGAACAGAAGAGCTATTCACAGATGTAAAAGAGGCAGACAGACACAACGGTAGAGAAAAAGGTAAGGTGAGTACTGTGAAAGGGGTCGAATATGACAACCAAGGGGGTCGTGGTAGTTTGAAGTCAGAAGTCAAATGCCGGTTAATAGACTTTTTTTGCCGTATGAGTATACGTTGCCCAGGTTGCACCACGTGGAGGTAAGTCTATCGCACACCCCGCAGGACTGTAGATGCGAGTTAAATTATGTAACGTCCCCCTACTTAAATCAATATTTTACATGTCTGTACAAATATAATAGACATGAATTCGCAATATAATAAATTACCTGTTTAATACTTCGGGGCGATGCTAAGCTAGTGAAGAATTTTATTTTAATTCCAATTATTCAACACCTGTAGGTTCTTTATCAGCCCAAGCGCTTATTTTGAAGCAATCTATTACACCTTATTGTGATTTACTTTCAGATCACGACTTGGCGTAAAAGTATGCCCATTACTAAGGCTTAGTTTATGCCTATCTATGGCATCGAATGCCCAGATTTGAAACTCCATAAAGCTTCACAGTTTGACCTGCGGGCATCGGTAAGATAAGTATTATACAAGGTATTAATAGGCAAGAAATCCCTTACTCAGGAAATGTCTTAAGGTCTTTAATAAATTTTCCATCATTGGATTCATTATAAAAGTAAACCCTCCACTTTACTACTAGTCACTGGGAGCAGTTAACTCTGATGCTCTTCTTCCTTAAATGTGTTATCGTGTTTTTGATCAGCACTTTTAATTGTCTGGATTATGCAAAATTTTGTCTGCTCTGAAGTAGGCAAAACATTAGAGTTGGACATAATTTATAAGTAGCCTACCTCCCTCCTGTAGTGCTAGTTAGGATGTAAGGGAAGAGCGTTCACGAAAAAGAAAAACTTTTCATCGGTTGACTTGGGCAGAGTGAAGTTACCCTGAGTCATTCTCGCGGGTATTTCACACTCTGCCACGTACCCCTATTGACCAGAACTAAGCAGTGAAGTTGGGTTACCCATACTACTACTAAATGCGACCTAGGATTTAGCCAGACACGCAACAAGTTGACCACTGCGCCATTTGTAGCGTCAATTATTCTGCATTAGCAGAAATGGTTGTTTTGCATTTCCTAGTTGCTTGGTGCAAAAGTTCACACAAAAATTGACTAATTACTTATATATATATATATATATATATATATATATGTGAGAAGATTACTATTTTGTGATTTTCATTCCGTTAACTCCTACTGTAATGCGTCAATTCAACATCCATTTGTTTATTAATAGATCAATTGTTTACCGAGATACTAAAGAAAATGTATTTTAGAGAACATTTGGCGAATAACTTATGAAGTCATCAGATAAGTTGAATTTTCCCATAAATNGGGGGGGGGAGGGAAGAGAAGAGTGTTTCAACGATGTAAGAGACAAACATAACGGTAGAAAAAAAGGTGAGGTAAGTACTGCGGAAGAAGTGGAATATGGCCTAGAGTGAGGTGATGGTAGTTTGAAGTGAGAAGTCAACTGCCAGTTAATAGACTTTCTTGCCGTATGAATATACGTTTCCTAGGGTGCACCACGTGGAGGTAAGTCTATCTCACACCCCAGTTTATGTAAAATAACTCCTGGTAGAAATTCTAAATGGGAGGTGTTCTGTTCTTATGCTTATGGAAAGGCGTCCTGATTTGGTTCTAATCACTCTAAACTATCGATTGTCCCGTTTCATTAATTTCCTAACTGACCGTCGATTTTTTTGTACGAATTTTTTAGATGGCAATATACGGACATGGATTTTGTCGGTCGGCGAGAGATGTGTTCAGTCTCATAGTACGAAATGTGGTCAGGTGGGTCCATTTGCTCTTAAATCTACTTTCACTTCACTTCATTTCCTCTTCCTTATAGCTGATAATAGCGAAAAATTTTGTTTCTAACACACTTGCCCTTGGCACTGTAGCAAACGGTCACAACTTTTCATCAATTAGTTAAATACGAGATAAGCCATGGAAAATAGTTAGAGAGAAGTTTATTAATTCATTTAATTATAGTAAATGGTAAGCTTTACGATAATTATCAAAGTCGCAAAAGGTCGAGAGATTGAACACGAAGAGTGTTTCAAAAATGTAAAAGAGACCGACAAAAAGGTAAGATGAAATGAGTACTGTGAAGTGGTCGACTATGACATACAATGGGGTCATGGAAGTTTGAAGTGAGAAGTCAACTGCTGTATGAGTATACGTTACCCAGGGTGCACTACTTGGAGGTAGGTCTATCGCGCTCCCCAGTTAGGAAGAAGTTAATAACGGAGTTTTGGCATGCTTAGTTTTCCCCATTAGGATACCAACCCTAAGTTTCAATCTTTATCATTTAACCCTCATACTCATTGGTGAGATTTTATTTGGGATCTTCGAAACGGCTCCTTTAATTGCGCCCTTTTTTCACGTCTTCGTTATTCGCGGCGTCGAGGAGGTGGTGGTCGTTTTGCTTTTCTCTCATCTAACGATCAATCAATATTTTGACTTTTTCCTCTCTCTCTACACCACCCCCCAAGATCTTTGCCCCCTACACGCCTATGCAAATGATCCTTTACTGGCCAACGTGATAATGCTTTCGGTGCACCTTTATTTTGAGGAGGGTAAAATTTTTTGTTAGGATTTGCTCTCAATTATTTGTACCTCTAATTTGTGGGGTCATATATGTATTGTTGTTGATTTATCGTCATGTTATGCATGGTTGTGGGAAATTTATCGCCATTTGGTTCATTGAAATGGGTACCCAAGTGTGCCTACCTGTCTGAATTGGTGGTAAAACAATTGACGCATAAAGGATTAAAAAATTATCTACTCAATGGTTTTTTTCCCTCGTTTTTACAAAATCAATGTAACAGATTATGCCTAGGGTCATTAATCCATTTTCACACCCACGTTGCTGCCTTGAGGTGCTTATCTAAACTTTAAGGACTATTAGCCCTTTCTAAACGAAAATATGAGCGAATTAACTCATCGACGATTATCTTTCCGCCTTTAAGTCCACTATGCCGAAATCGGGAATGTGGTAGGGTGTCAGGTGTATGTGCTTGAAGATGCTGGGATTCTGACAAACGCTTCCGGCATTCGCTTCCCGTTGTTGGTGTCTCTGTGACTTGTCTATCATCATCATCAGCAGCAGCAGGGGATCACACGCTGTGTTATTCCAGTTGGGATTTAGATAATCGCAGCAGCTATTGGTAGGAGAATCGAAGGTGACAGTTGGACTCAGCAAAGAAGTAATAATAAGAATCTATACGCCTAATTTAGGTATGGCATTGGCATTTAGTCGACAATTTGAATCAGCCATTCATGACAATACTACTTGTTCCATTTCCTTTGGGTTTACACCTTATAATTGCCTTAATTTCGTTCATATAGTTTGGTGAGTGCTAGTTTCAATACTGAAGGCGAGGTTCATGACGACTGAGTACAAGTGCCTCTGGTTGGAATCAATATGAATGTATATTTCCTTTGTATGCACGCTTAAAATAATTGTATTGTAACCGGCCCCATTTACTTGAACTTTCTGCAGCGGTCTGTTATGCCAAGCATTAGAGAAGACTTTGAAGATGAAGAGTTTTACATCCAGCAAGATGGGGCACCCCCTGCCCCCACATATTACTTTCTCGATGTCTTTCCCTGATGAGGTCTTGCTAAACAGGGGGATTGGATGAAGAGGTTCACCAGACTACAAACCACTAGATTTTTCATGTGGGTAAACTTAAATGTCAAAGTCTATGCAAAGAAACCTGCAACAGTCATTGAATTAAGGGAAGCCATTGAGCATGAATATAACCAAATCCCATTACTTGGCGTAGTCAGTAGTGTCTGGGACAAAATGAGCGTCAGTTAGTGAACAAGCAGTGAAAACCAATAAAAGTATACCTTTAAAATATTTATACGATTTTGAAATTATTTATTTATTTATCTCAAATGGCAGGCGTTTTGATAGTTATCATTAGCCCTTAGTTGAATTCGGGCTTCACACAGAGAAGGAGGAACATCAAATTTACAAAATGTCGAGAGAAGGGGGGGGCAGAATAATGATTCACAGATGTAAAAGAGACAAGCAGACACAAAGACAGAGGAAGGTAAGATGAGTACTGCGAAAGTGGGCGAATATGATAAACAGTGGGGTCGTGGTAGTTTGGTATATATATANCTTGAAGATGCTGGGATTCTGACAAACGCTTCCGGCATTCGCTTCCCGTTGTTGGTGTCTCTGTGACTTGTCTATCATCATCATCAGCAGCAGCAGGGGATCACACGCTGTGTTATTCCAGTTGGGATTTAGATAATCGCAGCAGCTATTGGTAGGAGAATCGAAGGTGACAGTTGGACTCAGCAAAGAAGTAATAATAAGAATCTATACGCCTAATTTAGGTATGGCATTGGCATTTAGTCGACAATTTGAATCAGCCATTCATGACAATACTACTTGTTCCATTTCCTTTGGGTTTACACCTTATAATTGCCTTAATTTCGTTCATATAGTTTGGTGAGTGCTAGTTTCAATACTGAAGGCGAGGTTCATGACGACTGAGTACAAGTGCCTCTGGTTGGAATCAATATGAATGTATATTTCCTTTGTATGCACGCTTAAAATAATTGTATTGTAACCGGCCCCATTTACTTGAACTTTCTGCAGCGGTCTGTTATGCCAAGCATTAGAGAAGACTTTGAAGATGAAGAGTTTTACATCCAGCAAGATGGGGCACCCCCTGCCCCCACATATTACTTTCTCGATGTCTTTCCCTGATGAGGTCTTGCTAAACAGGGGGATTGGATGAAGAGGCTTTGTTGAATATCCCCCTTCCCGTTCATCAGACCTCAAACCACTATTTTTTTTTCTTATGAGTTACTTAAAAGACAAAATCTACACTTCGAAATCTGCAGCAGTCGCTGAATTAAGGGAAGCCATTGAGCATGAATGCGTTCAAATCCCCAGGGAATTACTTCATGATGTGTGTGTGATTCCATTGCTTGGCGCTTTCAGCAGTGTCTGGATGAAAATGGACGTCAGTTTGTGAACAAGCAGTGAAAAGCATTGAAATTATACTTGTAATATATTTTGACGCCTTTGAAGTAATAAAATTCTGATTGATGAACGCCACGATTGTAATTAGTTTCAATGTGAATACATTTGTTGTTTTGGGACACCCTGTCACGGGGTGAGGTGTCCTCTTGAAAGGTCATGTTGCTATGTCGAGAAATGGGTTAGCACTTCCTGTTGTGTTAAAAGTGAATGTGCAGTGATCAGGGAGGCTAATTCTATTATGAAATCCTAAATATTAATCAACTTTGTTGGTGTGGGGATGTAAGCTGCACTCAATGACTGCGCTACTTAAATCAACTTTCCTCCTTTTCACGTAGTTTGAGGGTTTAGGGTAGAGCGGAATTTTTTGCGATTCCTTACCTAATTGACTGAAATTTTCAATCCTTTTCGCGAATGAATTATTGACTTAGCTATTGACATCGCAATTTTCTCATTCTATTTTATGTTGTTTTTTTTTCATTTCTCTTCTCTAGAGTCTTCGTGGTGGAGGCAATTACTGACTTCGTTCTGTTTGTGGGAAAATTGGCTGTCAGTGTTGCTGTCTGTAAGGCTTAATTCCCCCCCCCCCTGCAATTTTAAATGCCACCTTTTAATGAGATTGAATTGGGAACGTACGAGTATCTCATCCTCTTCCTTTTTTAGCATTCTTTGCTTACGCGTATCTGAGTGGAGTGATCTCAGATCGTTTTGCCATCGTCCCGGATCCGACTATTCACCTTAATTACATCGTTGTGCCCATCCTGGTGAGTTGGGGAAAGCTATTTTTTCTCTCTTTGTGGTTTAACCTATCATGACTTCATAATGATTGCGGTGCTATGATTCTTCTCCCATCACCCCTCTTTCTCTCTCTCTCTCTCTCTCCCTCTATCCCCTTTCGATTTGTGATGATCCTGTTACTTTACCTGGGAAAGGAACAAAAAGCCTATTTTTGGGAAAAGGTTTTTCAACAGGCGTCTTAGCTAGAGGGGGGGGTGGTTTTTGTGTGCCTCTCGGTCGAGGGACTGAAATTCCGTCACCAAATTAACCATTGTAGTTTTTTTTCATTTCACTCAGGGAGTATGCGACAATGGGAATCGAACCCATCCACCATCCCTGCACTGAATCTCCCTTGGAGTTTTGTTGGAACTGCCGAGGTATAGTAGGCATGGTGATACGTTCACGCCGGCTCAGTCACTTGCGAAAAGCTGGATAATTTCTAATTCTTGGCAATTCTATTTGAAATTTCTTGATTTTGGCGTGTCAAATGTGCGTGTGCGTGCGTGTGTGTGTGTGGGCGGGCTTCTTTCACGCTGTTAAAAGATTGGAGTTTACGGTCTGCATTGATGATTTCACTTGTCATCCGTCATGCCCAACCCCTAATAGCTTAATTGGGAAATTTGTTTATGCTTTCACTTCCTCTTTTGTTTACATTCGCATTCCTCTTCACTGTACTCTCGTAGGCATTGGGCACAAGTGCGCTCCCCGCCTTCTTAATCTGCATAAATTCTTTTAGACACATTTCGTTTTTTGCCTTTTCTGCTTATTCCCGAGGTGAAGTTCCCCTTTCTTCATCGTAGTGCAATGGTGCTAATTCCTAGCATTCTACCCTGCAATTAAGGTCTAATTCCCTACTCACGAAAGCTAACATAACGTTAGTTTTATATTCTCAATCCTTAAGCCCCTTTAGCTCTCCGGTATAAGACCCACGTAATCATTCAAAGAACCAATATTTGGATCTTTGCACATTATTAAAGATGTTCTCCAACATTGAAAGATGCGGAGTTCTTTACACATTGATACCCTTTCAGCCTTGAGCTGTGGTAATTAACTTGCCACCTTCAAGTTGTCAAGTTCTTTACTGCGAAAATTGAATTGAAATTTTTTGTTCTAACACCTGCCTCGGACTGTATTTTTAAAATATTTTTTTTATGAGTCAGGTAGAGGAGTAATTAGCCTCTTCATTACCCCTTAATTGTTAACTATTAATTGTAGGAGAGTATTCTTGAAAGATTGTCATTATGGGACTGTTGATGTTAATGCAGTTAGCCTTAGGCATTTATTTTGAGGGAGCGTTTTGTTGCAATTAACGTCTAAGTTCATTGGGGTGGTTTTTTTGCTTTCTTTGCAGGTTATCGGTCTGGGCTCCTTCTTCGTGGCCAAGGCGTTCTTCACAGTCTATGAGATGGGTATTGATACCATCTTTATCTGTGTCTGTAAGTACAAACCCTGCCTTGTCTCCTTGAGTACATTAGAATTGTGTTTTACTGCGGTGTTGGCATTGGTGAAGATTCTAACGCCCACTTTAGAATCGGCATTCTGGCGAAGTTTGGTTTATTCTCGGGTTGTAGGAATCTGTATATATAGACAGGTTGCAATATCTATCGTATATCAGTAATACTTGAGCTTATTGGCCTATTAATACTTGCTATACAATAGGGCAAGAAGTGGTATAGTTTAATTATATCTATTATAATAATGGTTACTTCGATTTCTAGAATTGTAGAAATGGATGAGTAATTTGGTCGAGATTTCATTTCATGTAGGGAAAAAAGGTGCATAAATGAGGCATTGAGAGGGGAGGTGGTGACATGAGTTAGATATGAAGACAAAATGTGTGTTTCTATTTTATGTTGTGCATTAACTAAAATGCCCTTTTTTGCAGGTGAAGATTTGGAGCGCAACGACGGAAGTGAAGAGAAGCCCTACTTGATGAGTAAATCACTGATGCAGACGCTGAAAAAGCCCGAAGTGGAAGAATGAACCTCTCAATTGTCATCTTTTCTTCCCCGCCCATTTCATCGTCACATTCTCGGTTTCTCTTTTTGACCTCCTTTTATGGGATTTTGCTAATGCTTGTTTACAATGTTTTATTATGACTGACGCGCATTCATCTCCCTCTCTCTCTCTCTTCCTTCCTCCCTCCCTCTTTCTATAATCATTGGAAATAATTACATCTTTATGTGCTTGCCTATGTAATAAATGTGAGAGTTGTTAATTGGGCCTTCTGTGAAAATTGGTAAATGCGTAGAGGGTACCTTGAATTCCTATCATAAAAAGGCGATTAAGGGCTTGGTGGGGGGAAACAAGCAAATTTGCAAAATAGCGGTCTCTAGTAAGGTGACTTGGGAGTCTTTATTCTGGACAAAAGTTACTTATATCAAATGGCAGGTTTTATGATAGTTATCAATCATCCTTAAGTTGACTAAACAGAGGGAAGGAATATCAAATTCACAAAAAGTGGATAGTGGGAACAGAAGAGTGATTCACAGATGTAAAGAGAGGCAGATACAAAGGATAAGGTGAGTACTGTGGAAGTGATGGAATATGGCTTAGAGTGGGGTCATGGTAGTTTGAAGTGAGAAGTTAACTGCCGGTTGATAGACACTTGCCGTGCGAGTATACGTTGCCCAGGATGCACCACGAGAAGGTAAGTCTATTGTGCACCCCAGTTTGCAAAATAGTAGTCTCAAGTTAGGTGCCTGGTGCGTCTTTATGCTTTGCAAAATGAGTAGCGTGGGATTAGCAGAAAGGTCCTAAGGTACACTTATTATCTTAAGACGTACTCTTTATTGATTTTTCCATTAATTTGCTTAGAATCTGTCAAACTTATTGAAACCCACATGTCAGGCTTTTTTCTCTGTGCTGCCCATTTCCTCTAATGTTAGAAGGCACTGCTATCGATTCTGGAGCTCGATTCCACCGCTTTTACTATTGAATATGCCAGAGGTTATATGGGCAAAATAATCCATTACCTCTTATTTTTGCTGTGAGAATTATTGTCTTAGTAACGGAAACCAATCTACTTAACTCCAAATCTTTTTCTCTAAAGGCAGCCCTCCTCTCTGTGCCTGTTATCGATTTTGTGTTAGCGTTCGTATATTTCCAATAAATCGATTGGGAATAATAATAACTTGGTAAACAAATCGTTTTTAGACATTGTTCCTATATAAAATTGCTTCTGATTCGAGCAAATAGGGCTATGTACTCTTGATGACTCCTTGTGAGTATATTGTAGCGGATTGCTACATTAGTAAAGCCTGACGGACTCAGAAATCTCTATGGCAGATTCTCCTACATCTAGCTAGACCCCCAGAACCGGCTAAACCATAGCCCAGCTATAAAGGAAACAGACGTGTAGCACGGAGCACGCTTATTCAGGACGTATATTGCGGATCAAGTGTACACGCAGGGAGCTACTCATGATCAGGATGGGGGATTAGGTTAAACAGAGGTTGATGATTGGCCACTGTTTGTACGGTCGCTTCACACAGAGTTGTACGGGCGCACCTCCCAATCCTGGCGAGCAGACATGCAGGCATACGATGACGGACAACGCGATAACGTGTCCCACAATATCGCGCTCATCGCAAAAAAATAATTGCAACA